CCTCTCCTCTCTTGTTTGAGTCAGCTTAAAACCTAAAATGACCCAATTAAAATGATGAAATCAATTGTCCAGTGAAGCATCACCTCCAGTAAAAAGCTCAATCGGGGAATTCTTGTCATTTCCTGGTAATGCTGACATGTAATGTAATAGTGTTAAGTGTCTGAACCTGTCTGGAATGCAATTGTGAGGAGTAAATGTTACACAAACAGGTGTATCAGAAATTATTCACTCCTGATGGCACAATCATAACTTCTCATCCATCTTACTGGCCTGTTAACGTCTGAGTATTCTCTGTTCTCCTCCAACTCCTGTGGGAAATAATTTTGGTGGTCCTACATTCCTCTGAAATTTCTGTCAGTTAATGTACACACGTGTTATATAATTGTAACATCATATGGACTGAGAGTTTCAAAAGAAGTTGCCAAGCATCGCAATATTTCCGTGTCTGTGTTGCAATAGTCTCCGGAGGATTTTCCCTCCCTGTTTAACCACACGGGCAGACATTCTGTATATTACTGTACATTTTTTGAATTAACGCACATGCAGTATTATATAATCTCAGGATATTATGTAATAACTGAACTATGAATCCCCCAGAAGGATACCTCTGAAGGACTTCATGAGGTAGTGAAAAATATCAGGATGAACATGCATACCTTAACAGAAAAAGAAACACCCAATGATCTCCAAAAATACACCAGACTTTAACTCAGAGCTTGTTTTGTGAATCATGTATATTTGGAACTAACAGATAGCTTAAGTGGATGAAGTGACAGAGCTGCACCTTGACTCACACACACACGCACACACACACACACACACACACACACACAAAGTGACGGTAATTAAACCTTATTTTACACTCACTTTTATTAGCAATCGGACACAAAATATATGGTCCAGGTCAAAACTAACAAGCAAATGTGTGTTTCTCTGGAAAAGGAGGCCAATAAAGTTGAAACCATGCACGAGGTTCACGTGCATATTTTTTATTAATTCAGTCCCAGGTTGGTCAAGTTGCCCTGAACCAACCCTTGTAACCTTTTCTCTGGGGAAACCCTTCTTTTAGCAAGTGATGAGTGATGTTTGGTGAGTCTGTTTGTTGATCGTGCACTCTCAGACCTCACAGTGCTTTGCAAAAGGCCAGAGGTCTCCCAGGTTGGGCTGCCGAAACGGACTGCTGGCCAGGACCCCGGGCCCCAAAATACAGTGGTACAAAACCAGTCTTGTTACTGTGGTGGTACACTGAAAGTGGACCCAACGTGTTGGACTGTGATACTCTGCAGCACAGCCTGGTAGTCTTCACCCTCAGACCTGAGTAAATAAACACAACCAGCTACACAAACACTTTGGCTGGGGCTGGGAAAGCCCACGCACAGCCCGCTACTAAAGAGGGCATCTAAGTATAGATGGCTTGTTGGAGCCTATGGTTGGAGCTGATGTCGCAACATTGTTTTTAGAGGGAGTTGTTTCCAGGCCCGTTTAGAGACGAGTAAGAAGTAATGTTTGGCTAATAAAAACACATCTAATCTTGAAACTATTTAAAGGCCACTGGTGCGCTCAACATCAAATTACATGTAAACTGATTCAGTAGCTTTTTCACACTGTGAGTACATCTTTAGTTATAAAGCCACAGACTTACTTTTCAGTAGTTCTCCGCACAAGTAATCTTACCTCTACTTTAGAATGCTTACGTAAATTAATAAATCTTTTTTCATTCAATTCAATTCAATGGGGCTTTACTGGCATTACAAACCAAGATGTTTACATATGTATACAGATGTTTTCAAACTAAGTTTGAAACAAAAACATGTACAAGCACAGAAGAATTATGTGTCATTTTATCTGCATTTCCACTCCTTACGACATGCAGCAAGAATAAAAATCACATTGGGATTTTATTACCGTGTCAACCCATATTTGTATTGAGTTGTTTTCCATCTCATCTGTCTTATCTGAGGACTGCATGAAATTGTTTTTGTCAGACAGACCTTGTGAGTCGGCACCCGGACATTATGTAACTGTGTAATTCAATGATTAGTCAGTCCTGTCAGGGGAATAATACGGAAAAGCTATTTTCAACCTCGCTCTTCACCCATGTAATAACCTTTTTATGAAAATACTATGGATAGTTGTGTTGCCCTTTCTCACACAGTTGTGTTGTTTTTCAGAGCAACACAAATTGCAATAAATAATGTAAATAAAAGACAGGAAGAATGGGAATATGACCGGTAGGTTTGATCTTTGGAGTCTCAGATCCTGAGAAAGTGTCCCCGAACAATGCACTGAACCTATCACCTTCTCCTTTGCACAGTCCGGTGGTTTATATTTATACTGCCATCATCTCCAACTGCAGTTCTGAATTCTGCCATTGAGGGTCTAAGTATGGAGGGTGTTGAATGTTCTAAGGCAAATTTGTGATTTTGGGCTACAAAGTGAATCTGACTATGTTATGCATTCAAAACCTTTCTACACTGTACTCTGTTAACTGTGGCTGCGAAGGCCAATAATGAAACAGATATGTTGAGTTTTTCAGGCCAAAGTTCTTCAAGTACTGCACTTAACTGATACTTTAGCTACACAAGTGAAAACCTGAGCATTTCTTCCACCACTGGTTTTGAATGTAACAGAAACCAGTTGTGTGCATTCCAATTTAAATTTTACATGTTTTGTTTCTCACCTGTCCCATCTTTTGCTAAAGCCGAATTGGATGGACATCTCTTTTCAATATACAGTATGTCTAACATCTATGTTTCTATATTCTCTGGACTCTGCATCATATTCCTGCCCAGACAATTTTTTTTGCCTTTGTACAGCAAGTGACAGATGAGAGCCGCCAGAAAATGAGTGGAGTGAGAAGTAACAAAAGTCCTCAGCTGGACTTTAACCAGAGACTTTTGTGATTACATGGTCTTCAACCCCAAGGCCACAAGGATGTCCCACAGTGAAACCTTTTAAATTCTGGATCCATGGTTGACTCCAGATCTGCACCAGAAATTAATCTGGTTTTCGACTCATGGTAAGTGAAAAAGGACATTTTCTTTACATGATCAGAACTGACATCACTTAGACATACTGTGTAAACCACGACCTATTTCTTTTTCTTTGTGTCATGTGTTGATCTTGGGACAAACTGCAGTCCATCACAAGCCTTTAATAGCCTTTACTGAAGCAATGACCTCTAGTCATAAGATAATCGCTAATGAATCACCATCATGGAATAAAGTCATTAATACAATGTGGATGAAATCAGGTAAAACAAGTCCAAAAGGTCATCAGATCATCATATAATCATAAAGAAGTCACACAAGTCATCATGGTCATATGATTTAAGGTGTGAATTATGAAATGACCAGGGCGGAATTACAATCTCCTAATATGCGGTGTGTTGCAGGGCTTAACCTCCTTCATCTGTCATTTCTGTCCTCGCAGGAGTAACCTGTCCTGCTTTAGTGTGTGCGTACTGCAGTTAGAGGGCCTCGGTAATACTAAGCGATAACCATTCCTTAAATATCTGATGGAACAACACAATTACAATGTGATGATAAATCTTTTATTATACTTTCAAAGCAGGACTCAGGGCCTAATGGACTAATTCAACTGAAGGAAGGTGAGGTAATCATACAGCGTCAGTCTTTGGAGCAAATCAAACTAGATCAATGGGGATTTACATAGGAGGAAACATGAGATCATATCTGTATCTTAGGAGGAAATGTGTTTCTTGAGAACACATCTAAATGACAAATCCTCTGATAACAAAACACTGAATGACAGTTTAAACTGGAAGGAAATGCAGTCCACATTATTAATTGCTGCAAATCCCAAAGCACAGACAAGAGTCTAATTGATTGGTGTGTTTTGTTTTGTGCTTTACCCTTAGGGGTCACCATAGTCATAGGCCATATGCAGCATTTCCTGCTTCCTGGTCGTGACTGAATATGAACACTGGCCACCAGCCAAATATTATGTTGTAGGCTACTGGAACTTCTGTCTAAATTATTATCTGATTTGGCAGATGGCAATCCTGTGCTGAAATAGTGTTTTCTGTTTTGATATTAGGCTACTAGTTGGCAGGGGAAATCCTGAATTTATTTCACCCGCGGTGATGTCAGTGTGCAATGTCTTTCAGCCAATCTTTACACTGAAGGTGTACGTGTGCTGGTGACAAGCAGCTGAAGGGTGAGGCTGACGGTCACATAAGCAAAGTGAGTTAAGCCTGTTCTGATTTGGCCAATAATATGTATTAAAAGTGTAAGAAAAGATTTCACTCTCTCTTTCATATGATATGGCTCATTGTTTTTGTTTAAAGATTTTAGTTTTGATGCTATTTTAATTCTTCTCTGCTTCACTGAGTGCATGATTGAGATAAAGCAACTTCATATTGGGGTTAATAAAGTAGACATATGTCTATCTACATAATGTGCGTCTTATTGATTACCTCCACGTGTGAGCAAACTGATTACATACATTTATTAATTACGGATGATATGTCACGGATTCATTCAAAAACAACTCCTGTCATGAGTCAGCTGGTTTAAGTCACTGGCGGCTTTTGACTGCATTTTAAAAGAATGAATGTTTTAGACTTGACAGAAACTTTAATTTCGCAACAGAGATCAGTTAATAAGATGCTTCCAAAAACGGACAGTTGCTTCTGTCAGGCAAGTTTAGAGTGTTTAAAAGTTGATTGTTTCATATGCCAGGTAGGCAACGGTAAATGCAAATGAATACTTGTTAAACAGTATTTGTAATTCGTGAGTTTTTCTGAATGTATAATCGCCAAATTATTAATCTTACATCGCCACAAATCTAACATCCGCCGACAGCTGGCGAGTCTTTTTGCAGCTTCCACCGGTTGGGACGTTAACCGGAAGTGACGACAGAAACAGAAATAGTTTTTTAAAGCCACATAAATTAATTTCGCTGTTTTAAAATTGTTGAAAGCCTTAACAACTTCACAAACGGTACACAAGATAAATGTCTGTGGCGCCGTTCACTTGTAAATATATTTTCCCAGATAACAGAAAACTAGTTTGACCTCCATACTCAGGATGCACTTCGCTCTTGCCATCTTGTCGAGTGGTTGGGTTATACGAGCGGCAGGCAGGAGTTAGCTCACCGCCGCTGCGCTAAAGTGGATATCTGTCAGCTAGCTGCTAGTAGCAGCTGCCAAAAGTGAGCTATCCACAGAGCAAGAGGCAACACTTCGCCGACTTGGAGACGTGTTCTCTGTCTACCGCTGGATTATAGATTCTTTCTGATAAACCTGTGGATTTGTTTACATCATGATGTCGCACATGCTGGTACCGAGGTAGGGAAAACTGGCTAACATCAGCTAACTCAGCTACTTAGCGAGAAATACATACATAACTGAGAGAGAAGAGTGCGGGCCCGCCTCAGACTAAAGTACCGGTGAAAGCTGCTGAACAAGAACTTTGACAAAGGGCCTGTTTGCAACTCCGGTGCCGGGACAAAAGGTAGGCCGGGGGTGGGAGAGCGGCACATTTAGGGAGTTTCGCCCCGGTTGTGACACACTTTTCTCGAACAAGAGAGAGAGGAAGAGGAACGGTATGGAAATGTCCTGTGACAGTACGTGTCTGTGTCACATCCCTCAGCTGTGAATTACTTCGCAAGACATTAGTCCAGCACTTCGTTTCATCTGGGGAGCTTGCTGACTTGACGCAGTTAATCAACATGTCGAAAATGCCAGCGAAGAAGAAAAGTTGTTTCCAGATCACGAGTGTAACGCAGGCTCAGGTGGCGGCCGGCAGCATCACCGACGACACCGAGAGCCTAGACGACCCGGACGAGTCTCGGACAGAGGATGTGTCATCGGAAATATTTGACGTTTCTCGGGGAGACCAGGGTGTGTGTGAGAAGAGTTCATCCGAGGAAACCTTGAACAACGTAGCAGAGCCTCAGGAGGGCCAGCAGCCTGTCAATGGGGGTCTCTCTTATAAAAGTATAGGCACTGATCGTGTCACCCCACATAATTTAGTGGGAAGTGTACCTGTGCAGGCTACAGCTCAACCCTTTGTTCCAAGCTCAGCCACCCATCCCTTGACAGTCATCAATGCGGCTCCTGCTGCTACTGTCTCTACCAGTGTGGCTCACACAGCTCCTGTGAGCACCAGCTGTAGTTCCCGTTTCAGGGTCATTAAACTTGACCATGGGACCGGAGAGCCCTTCAGACGGGGCAGGTGGACATGTACTGAGTTTTATGAGAGAGATTCAGATTCAAATGTTAATCGGACTGTGGATAGCATAAAACCGAGTCTAACCCTTGATCACAGTATAGACAGGGACAGTGGGCTCGGAGCCACCAATAACTCTGTGGTCACTAGCAGTGCTTTATCAGCACAGGCTTCGGAGAACACTGCGGACAGTGGCTACGCCGTCGGGCACCCCACCCACCCCCACGCTTCAGAGCCTACCCAGCAAGGCTACGGCTTAGCTCCTCAGATAGGGAGCGGAGCAAGTGCCTTTCAGCCCACAGGGTATACAACTACATCATCACAGCAGCCACAACAGGCTCAGGTCAATATGCAGCCTGTTGCACCCCAAACCTTTCTGTCGAACAGCCTCAATGGTGTGCACCAAGGTGCCATGCAGCAGCAGTCTATCATTATGCCTCCTGCCACACAGGCCCAGCAGTTTACCTATTCTACTGGCCTCCCACCTGGCCAGCCAGACTATCGTCAGCAGCACTTTGGCTCAAGCCCTCAGAACCTTCCCATGACGACCCTCTCTGTGGGGCCTCCAACCAGCCAGATGCCCTCACCTCTTATCACCCTTGCTGGTCCAGGAGCCCAGGGGCTGGGCGGTGAGGCAACCTCAGCCCATGGCCTCCTGCTGCAGGTGGGCAGTGCCCCAACCATGGCCCCCATCCTTCCAGGAAGTGGCCAACAGCAGCATATCAACCAGACTCAGCCTTTAGGAGGGCTAGGTATTACCCCTGCACCTTCGGTCACCACCGCCACCTCCCACAGCGGTGTCCAGAACACACCTGCCGCAGTGCCCACTATCAACAACACCCCTCCCGGTGTGCCAAGTCAGGCTCCTGGCACAGGAGGATTTGTCCAGCCACAGGCAACCCACGGAGGAGCCCCAACAGGCCTTCCCTCTGGCTTCAGTAACCACGCTGAAGATAGTAGGCAGAATACTGACGCCCTACCTCAATCGAGTGCCGTTGTGGTGCCAGGGAAAGATGGTATAAAGCCTTTCATCGGCGGGGGCCTCAACCTGCCCACTCCTACTGTCAACAGCCTATTTGACATCCATATTACCATGAATGTGGATGAGGACAGGTAAGACAGTGAAATGAGTCAACTTTCATAGATTAAATTCTTTACTGCTTTTTTGTTCAGCTGTAGTAATGCAATATTATATTATATACCTGGAGCCAATCAAGTGTGTATCTTTACCCTCATATTAAACATTCTTGTTGCATTCTTGTGGAGACTGCCGCTCCCTTCACCAGTGCCCAAATTAGGCACGATATGTCTAGAAGTCTTTGGTTTTACTGAAAGAACAATGAAACAAAACACACATTTTTCTTAGTTCTGTTTGTAAGTGTGACATTTTAGATTGGAGGAGGGATTAGAGGGCTAGTGAGCCAATGAAAACTGGCAGAGACAGGAGGAATATTTTGTCTTTGTCACTAATGGGCAACCCACAAAACACTGAATAGTAATTTGCCTTTTTTTGACACCCACAGCCCCCTCCTGCAAGCCTCCATTCAACCATGCAGGCTGTTTGGGTTCAGGGGGCCTTAACAAGCACTTGGATAAGTTACAACACACGCAGGAGTAGTTTTTTAAATTCTCCCTTCTGCCTAGGAGAGAGCATTAGCATACTCGCCCTGCGCAGTGATCCCAGCCTCCCAACTTTAAATTTTTCCGAAAGTACTCCTCTAATGGTACACACTGTAGCTATTTTTAGGGTCTGTCGGATGGCCTTCTACACAGCTTGATCTGAAGTGATGCCACTCTTTGGCTTTCTAAGCAAGCAGGAGACTAGGAGAGGTGATGTTTGAGCCAAGAATGACCTAGATGAGAGCTCTAGTTCACTCATACACACACACACACGTGCATAGTCTGTCCTGTATTTATGTAGGCCTCAGTGTTTATCAGTGGGCTCTGTTCTGTATTATGAATGGTGCAGCCAGAGGAGGAGGAGGATTAGGAGATGTGTGTGTGTGTGTGTGTGTTTGCTTTGGGAGGTTGAGGCCTGATTTTTATTGCTCATGGTCCAGATATTTCTAAAGCTAATCATTGTTTACCGAGAGACTGCATCACATATGGGTTGATTATGTGCACAGGGCAGAAACATAGTGTGTTGTCCCTGATTTCATGAGAGGAACAGTCAGTGCCTGTTTCCTAGCCATTCGTGTGTGTGTGTGCGCGAGAAAGAGGAGTGACATTAGTGGCTCTCTGTGTAGCTATGGAGATGCCGGCAGCAGGACAGGACAGGATGTGTCAGGGGTGGTGGAGAGGACAGTTAGCCTGGTGCACAGACACACACCTACATCACACACACAACACCCCTGTGGCACTGATAGCGAGCACGTAAGCCACTGTGTCTGTAGCAGTGATGACACGGCCAGACTGAATCAGCAGGATGATGTCTGATCTGGCTCTCAGACTCGAGTCCTTGTTAGACTTGTTGATGACTTGTTACGGCTTTAAGCTCCTCCTTGTACTTTTGCGAAATAGGCTCTCACTTAGCTGCATAGGGTTGCTATAATTAAAGTAAATATAATTTCCTCAGTCCAATGGTTACTCTGCATAAATGTTTTGGAGCTAATTTCCATAATTTTAAGTTATTTTGTTTACCCCTAAGGGACAAAAAATGTATTAATTATAAATTAATTATTGGTTCGCTGTCCAATTTGCAACAGCATTTCTACATAGACAGTGGTGCTTCAGTCACACTTTGTAACCATTTTTCAACAAAATAAGATGAACTGTATGGCTGCTATCAACAAATAAGCAGTTATATCGGACAGATTAAACAATTGCTGCATCTTACCTAAGCTAGTAGGGGACACCGCATATGTCAAAAACTGTATTTTCCCATCCTGTTGATGAAATTTGGGACACTTTTTGTCCTAATTGGTCTGGGCTATGATGTAATAACCATTTCACGGCTTGTACATTGAGCTACTTTTGGTAGATGTGTATTAAGTCTTCTGTACCAAGGCATTTCATCCGTGCCAGACTTCATGGAATTTCAAAAATGTCAAAGGTCTAACACAGTGCAAGTTGAGTCATCACCAAACTTGGTTGACTGATACAGCTGTCAAATCTTTCCTGAGGGGTTTGCATGTTGATTACTTTGCACTTAACTTCTGTAAAATGCATCAGCATGCTTGATAAATATAAACCAACCCTATTAGACAATAACATTGTGAAAAGTGTACCAGATAAATCACATGTATATCATGGGTTGTAGACCTTTTTCTTTAGTTTTAACAAAACTTTGATCAGTCTAACCAAAGTTTAATCTGTAAAATACATTATGAAAACTTCAGTATTGAGACCGATAAGCCCACATGTCATGTACACATTGCCTAAATAATGAGAAAAGTGGAATTGTTTTGTTGCTTTTCACAAATCGTTGTATATGGATTCTGCCTACTGCATACTTTCACATGTATGTACACGTTGATTTTTGGTTAACCTCAAATCCTGGGCAGTTTTGAGGTGAGGTTGGCAGTCACAGGGGTAATTTTAAATAGTATCAGTTGTAATTAAAATGCCTTGTTAACTCATAATGTTCTTGTGAAGACCATAAGCACATATTTCAAGGAACACACCCCAACATAACGGGACACACATTTTCAAACTTTCTGCCGCTTTTCAGAGGTGCATTGTTCTGTGGATGAGCTCGGCCTCGTTGAGGAATCTGCTCCAAGTTTCATTGTTTGGTTCTGTTTTGAATTAGAGTGCATCACAGAAGTGGAACAAAGCATTGTGGGGGTGGAGGCGTGAGATTAGAATGATTTCCCCTCAGCTTAGAATGGTTAGCATCTCGGCTCAGCATGCTGCCTCACTGCCAAATAAAGTGATGAAGCTGCCCCTGGGACAAATTGCTTTCCTTCAATAGGAGCACTTGGCCTTTAACTCAGTTACTTCTTCCAGAGCGGACAGCCCCCCCATACCCAGTATACTGTCTCAATTAAGAATGTTAATTATTAATCCTTTTATTGATTACATTTTCTCAAGCAGAAGAACAGTAGCAACCTAATTGTACAGTGGAGAGAAACACAGTCTGAAGTTAATTCTGATTCACAATTTATTGTAATTCACTTCATTTTATCCAGAGGAGGAGCACAATAACTTATCTGAAAGCAAATTGATTAATCTGATTGGTGAATAATGTGTAATTGATTAATTGTGTACATCCCAAGTACATAATCTATTCGCTTTTATTTCGCATAGTTCTGGAAAGATTAATGAAACATATGAGTATCGGAGGGATATGTAATGTATCCTTTTTTATATGTTGAGTCATATTGTTCTTTTGGTATTGACACAGATCATACCAAGCACCATTGAACACTTCAGTCATGACCTCTGGCAGATAAGTAAAAGCCCCATGTAACATGGGGTGATGTTGGTGAATTGGTGCACCTTTTAACTGAATTAATTTGTATGTCTTGCTTTTATTTGACTCTTCCTCTGCTATCTGAAGTGTGTGCTAGAGCTCTGCATACCCTTTAACCTCCCTCACTCTCCCCAACAGCCTGGCACTGGCAGGGCTAAAAATGGTAGTAAAGGAGTAGGAAGTGACTATCTTGTGACTATCGTGCATATATAAAGATTCACATGTGAAAACTACACAGTTCAGCCACAGTCTTCAGCTGCCAAATTTACAAACCTCCACGATATGTCTGATAGCCGACATATGATGTCACCATGCAATTGTGGAAACTGAAATGCACACAAGATAATTTTTTTCTTCACACACACACATACACACTGAATGTCACAAAGTTGTAATTTGATTGGAAGCGTTATGAAAGGTCAGCTGCAAAGTAAGTTCAACTAGGTGGAAATTTTGAGTTGTCCACCGCCAACTGGGGTGAGTGCAGTTGCTCCTGCAGTTGGGAAAACAACGCTTTTACAGGTGGAGAGTCATGTTGTTGGTGTTCGTAGGAAAAAATGGCAGCCATTGCTGCTGTCGGCAGTCTTTAAAGCAGCCACCTGCTAACATTAACGCTGGATTGACTTGAAGCTTAGTAGGAGCTTAGCAGGTATCTAGACGGTTAGCCCTGCCCCTTTAATGGCTCTCAGCTGTGTTGTGTCAAAGCAATATTGTTTTTCTTGCCAGTCAAGTAGTAGTGAATGGCTATAGTCTATAAAGAAGAATCCTTCTCTGTATTTTGTTCAAAGTAATAGCACAGGAAGTAGCACTGGAAGGGGTGCATTGAAATATGTTTGACACTGTGATCTGAGTTAATTAATAATAATAATAACTGATAATATTGTGACATTTGCTTTTGTTGTTGTTGTGTAGCCATAAACCTGAGGCAAATACATTAGTATTTTGTCAAACCCCTTCAAGGATTAATTGGTCTGTTGCACTTTCTCCATTTACCTTCTCTGGCTCTCTTAAGCAGACTGTCACGCTATTGCTATCATCATTTTATCATATTGATTTATTTTTACATTTGTTTTTGAACAAGTGAAGAGACACTTCAGTGTTTCCCACATATAGACTTTACTTTGGCGGCCCGCCCAGGTTTAATAACGCTCGCTCAGGTATACTTGGCGACAGATATATTTGGCAACCCACATTTTGCAGAGAAATAAAGAAAGAGATGCTATCTATTACTTTACAAGACACGAGCACAGTGAATATTTAACAAGCACGGACCAGGTAAAGCAACAGTGAACACACCAGTGAAGGTGTATTTTCGGTAGCACGTTGGTTTTGATACGCCATTAACAAGCCTCCTCCACAAGCGGCGCACCTGCTAATTTAAAAATGGAATTGCAGGTGTAAATATCCAAAAGACGTGTGTGTATGTGTCTTTTTTGCGACTTTATAAAACGTACTACTGATGGAGAAAGTAAAAAGAGCAGACACATACAGGGAGAGAGAGACAAAAACAGGCTGGTCAAGCCGGTGTGTTTGTAGTAAGAGGCCTGAGGTGTAGGTGTGTGGGGGGAAAAGAGAACTGAAGGGAAGGGAGCATATTCAAGTGAGTAAACACTGAAATAAGGTGGAGAATGAAATAGAATTAAAATGGTGAAATAAGAGAAATACTAGAAATAGAAATAAACCGCAAAAAGTCAGTTTG